CTGTACCTCGATGACTGCCTAATCAGAGCTCAATCATTGCAGGAAGCACACCATGCTACAGATATCACACACATAGTCTTTGAAGTGCTGGTTCTCATTCTCAATATCCTGAAGTCGTCCTTGGAGAACCAATCAATACAATTCATCGGAGTTCATCTCGACTCTACACACGAGCGAGCTTTCTTGCCAACAGAAAGGTTCCAGGCAATACAGGATTTGATCCAGATTTTGCTCATCAGTCCAACGGTTCCCATACTACGGTGTCTACAACTCATGGGACACATGGCTTCCACGATGTATGTCGTCAAACATGCAAGGTTATGTTTTCGCTCCCTTCAACATTGGATGGCAAGGGTATGCCCCCCAAACGTCCGTGACGTACATATGAAAGTAACGATTCCCACCCACATCAAAGCGTCACTAGCTTGGTGGACCATTCCAGGCAATCTAATGTTGGGTGTACCCTTTCATCGCCCACAGTCGTCAGCACAGCTTACAACCGATGCGTCACTCATTGGATGAGGCGCTCACCTTGGGCACGAGCAAGTACAAGACCTATGGACTCCTGACGAATCGTTGATGCACATCAACTTTCTGGAACTCAGGGCAGTGTACAAAGCCTGCCAACATTTCCTTCCCATTATTCAAGGGCAAGTCACATTATTCAAGGGAATCCTCACCGACAATATGACGACCGTTTATTATATAAACAAGTAAGGTGGAGCCAGATCCCCACTCCTTGTGCGCAGAAGCGGTACATCTATGGAATCTGTGCAACAATCACAATGTCTCTCTAATTGCAGAATATCTCCCGGGCCAGCACAATGTCACAGCCGATTCCCTGAGCAGACATTTTTCTCTCAAGCACGAGTGGGAATTACATCCCAAAGTGCTTTCTGCGATATTTCAATGTTGGGGATTTCCGTCAGTAGACCTATATGCCACTCACCATAACGCGAAATGTCCTCAGTATTGCTCAAGAGCGGGAATTGGGCGAGGTTTGAAAGGGGAAGCTTTCCTATACAACTGAGGACGTCACCTGCTATATGGGTTCCCCCCCATACCTTTGATAACCAGGGTCGTGGAGAAAATTATCCGAGAGGGAGCCACAGTGATCCTAATAGCCCCCTCTTGGTAACGGCAAATATGGTAGCCTTACCTTCATCGTATGTCGATATGTTCTCCATATCCTTTACTGATACAACATGATCTTCTTTCACAGAATCATCGCTCCCTACTCCATCCGCAGGTAGACCATCTCACACTGATAGCGTGGTACCTAGTTGGTTCCAACAGTCAGAAATAGCATGTTCGCAATCTGTCATACACATATTACAAAATAGTAGAAAATTATCTACGCGAACTACTTACCTCTCAAAATGGTCTCGCTTCTCGTCATGGTGTTTCCAAATGGGCCTGAACCCAACTTCTGCACCCATACAGTGCTTCGTAGACTACCTGGTGCATCTCAAGAATTCTGGCCTTACCTGCGCTTCCATTAAAGTACATGTCGCCGCAATAACCGCCTTTCACCAACCTGTTGAGGGATACTCCGTATTCTCCCATCCAATAATGAAAAGGTTCCTGAAAGGAATGGCCAACTTGTATCCACATTATACCCAACCTGAAGGACCCTTGGGATCTCGAAATGGTTCTGAATTCTTTGACGAGTAAACCTTTTGAGCCATTAGCGATGTGCAACCTCCATAACCTATCCATGAAGGTCGCTTTGAGCCATTAGCCTTTTGAGCCATTAGCGACGTGCAACCTCCATAACCTATCCATGAAGGTCATTTTCTTGCTAGCAATTACCTCCGCAAGGAGAGTCAGCAAATTAGCTGCTCTATCAGCTAATTACCTCTGCAAGGAGAGTCAGCAAATTAGCTGCTCTATCAGCCTCACCTCCCTATACAATATTCACGCACCAAGGAGTAATATTGCGACCACAGCCGCGTTTTCTCCCCAAACTGAACTCCCGTTTTCAAATCAACGAGCCTATAGTTTTGCCTATCTTCCACCCCAAACCACACCCTTCGCCCGAACATGCGCGCCTACACACTTGGGATGTCAGATGAGCGCTGGCCTTCTATATCAAAAGAACCAGACCCTTTTGAAACGTGGACTCACTACTAACATCAATAGTGGAATGCTCTAAGGGCCGTCCATTGTCTGCACAATGCATCTCCTCCATTATTATGCAGTGTATAAGGAGTTGCTATAACCTGCGAAACAAACCACTGCTGTCGACATTGAGGGCCCACTCGACTCGGGCTGTTGCAACGTCCACTGCTTTCCTCAAGGGAGTTCCATTGAGAGATATTTGTAGGGCTGCCACGTGGTCTTCCAACCTTTGCTACAAATTATGCCATCCCCAATCTCCTAATACCAGATTCAGCGGTGGCGTCAGCAATGTTATCCATGGTTACGGCACATTAGCTCCGAACCCGCCTCCATTCGCGAGCTACTGCTGTACATTTCACCTACAGTGGAACACTCACAGGACACAGCTCGAAGTAGTAGTAGTTACGCACCTTGTGCAGTAACGATGGTTCTTCGAAATGCGTGTCCTGTGGGTGCTCCACGACCCGCCCACCTCTCCTGTTCAGAGTTTCTCTATTTTATGGTTTTCCCATATATTCCGGCGTACAAGGCGACCTCTGACCAGACCACGCGCATTCGAATGGCGCGAAAAGCCACGAGCTGCACTCCGCACATGCGCAGTCTGGCAGACTAAGGCTGGAAAAGTTCTCCGATCTGCTGTGTCTGGACAAGTTGGAGCACCCACGGGACACGCATCTCGAAGAACCATTGTTACTGCACAAGGTGAGTAACTTCTTTTTCACAGTCCTTTTCGCTAGTCCAAGGCCACTCGTGCGCCAAGAGGGAAGGGAGACCTGGGCCCTCCCTCACTCCAGGTCTCAGCCCAGTACCTTAAGAACAGGGAATCCCCACACATGTGCGTACAGCAGCCTCCGAGCATGCCCAGCCAAGTGCCATTTCAGTGCGGGGAGCGGGGTTTTCCCTTTCAAACCCTACCACCCCGTCACATTTCCATAAACAAACAAAACTAGTTTGGTCCACTAATGTAGCTTAGTCAGATAAATGAATGATTCTCTGTTATTGATCCATGGTGATTACTATATGTAATACTTGTGGGAGTCTACATCTGTGAATGTTATTTTGTTCTTTAAATATTTCCAAAGACTTTATTGATGAATACATTTTTATATATGTAACTGTTACTCTCCTATCCAAAATAAAGCAAATTAAGAAAAAAATCTCTCATCTTTGGGATTTATATCACACAAGTTGGAAAGGCTGCTTTTCATAGTTAACAAGAATCATTTCTGCTATGCTAGAGAAAACATTTAGAATTAGAATACACAACCTAGAACTTTATACTTTTATCCCTAAAGAATAGCCAGAATGATCAGCATGGTCTGCATTATTATAAAAATTAGGGGGCACATGTTGGGCATGACCTTAGCCATGCTGAAAGAAAAAAAAAGTTTTAAGATAAAAGGAGCTATAATAAAAATGAGGGTTGTCAATCCCAGTTAACTCACATAATTTACTCAAAAATTAATCGCAATTAATCAGTTCTAATTGCATAGTTAAATAACAGAATATCAGTTGTATAGTGCTCACTTTATATTACTTTTATTACAAGTATTTGCACTGTAAAAACAAAAAATATAGTATTTTAATTCATCTCATACAAGAACTATATCATGAAAGCACAACTTTAACTGTAGAATTTTTTTGTTATAGTGTTATAGTGCACTATAGGGCATGCTCTGAGGCCGCGGCATGCACATGTGTGGGGATCCCCTGTTCTTAAGGTACTGGGCTGAGACCTGGAGTGAGGGAGGGCCCAGGTCTCCCTTCCCTCTTGGTGCACGAGTGGCCTTGGACTAGCGAAAAGGACTGTGAAAAAGAAGTTACTCACCTTGTGCAGTAACATAACTGCACTCAGAAACAAAACCATGTTCCAAGTCCACTCCGTCCTACTTCTTGTTCAGCCAGTCACTATAAGAAGCAAATTAGTTTACATTTGTCACCTGAAAGTACAAACAGGTATTTACATGTCATATACGCTAAACATTCATATACCCCGTCATGCATTGACCACCATTCCAGAGGACATGTGTCCATGCTGATGAGGTTCATTAGAAAAATAATGTGTTAGTTAAATTTGTGAATGAACTCCGTGGAGAATTGTATACCGCTTATGCTGTTTTACCTGCATTCTGCCATGTATTTCATGTTATATCAGTCTCGGCTGATGATCCAGCATGTGTTTATTATAAGAACATTTTCACTGCAGTTTTGATGACATGCAAATGTACAAATGTGATATTTCTAAAGATAGCTACAGCACTTGATCCAAAGTTTAAGAATCTGAAGTGCCTTCCAGAATCAGAGGGATGAGCTACTGAGCATGGTTTCAGAAGTCTTAAGAGCAACACTCATGCAGACATTAAAGAACTCAAATGACCAAAAAAATAAAATCCCTTTTTTGCTGGTGGCATCTGGTTAACATGATGGAATTGAACATGTGTTGGTCTGGACTGTTTTGGATCATTATCAAGCAGAAGCCATCATCAGCCTGGATGCATATCCTCTGGAATGATGTTTAACGCATGAAGGGACTCGTGGCTCTTTAGTGATCTGGCACATAAATATCTTGCTTGCAATGTTATGAAAATGCCTGTTCTCACTTTCAAGTGACATTGTAAGCAAGAAGCAGGATATCCAAAATATACAGTAATTTTCAATTGGTATTTTATTGTTTAAGAGTGCGATTAATCACCATTTTTTAAATTGCTTGAGAGCCCTAAAATGCAGACGGTATTGCAACAATTAAATTGATATTTGTGTACCTTTATAACAGAGAATTTAATTAATCTTTCCCCTATTTGTATTTAACCTCAGAGAGCCATGTTTGTAAAAAATATATAAAATATTACTAATAAAGGCTAAAATATTATATTATATAGGTCAAAGACATATTGCCATATTAGGAACTTCAGCTGGAGAATCTTCTGATGATAGTCTTGTGGATCTGGTATGTATTGAAAATTGTTCAGTTTCAGAATTGCTAAACCATTGTTTTTATCATGAACTGGTATTTAGGAGAAAAACTGTATTTGAGAAAAGCATATAATTTATTAAATGGATTTATTCCCTAGAAAAATCACCTTTTACTGTGTTAATCTTTGAACTTTTATTTTTTTCTAAAAGCAAGAAAATTGCCAAAACAGGATAAAAAGAACCTACTTAAAAGTATGTGTTCTCCATTTGCATATGTTGTTCTGTAAAGATGCAGATGAATTACTAAATTATTCTTGAGTATTAATAACAATTTTTCATAGTAAGTCTTAGCTCTGTTAGTCTGTTTATATTGACATTGCATTTGCAAATTTAATTTCCTATGACAGTGATAATTAGTGTGCAACTCCAACTACATCTTTACTTAAAGGAAGATTTTATTTCAACATAGATAAGAAGATTTTATTTCCACATAGATAAGAAGTACTGTTGAGAGTAAGGTTTACTTTAGGATATCAAATTAAATAACTGTGAAGAAAATTATTTAACTTCTAAACTGTGGAATTTTAAAATATTCATTTTGTTGCCCTAAGGCTGTTGGCCTGGGTGCCAGGTTTATCAAGTTGGGAGGTCTTTCCCGTGGAGAGAGAGTGACCAAATACAACCGCCTTCTTGCTATAGAGGAAGAACTAGCCAAGAACGGAATACTGTGTATGAGCTTCTTTCTTACTTGTTTTCAGCATGCAATGAATAAGAGAACAAAGATTGGAGGAGGAATGATTGAAACTGCTCCACAGGAGGGAAGGGGAATGAAAAGACTATAAATAAGCAGCAACAAAAAACTAGGATGGCACTTGCCACAACGTATATTCTTGTTCTAATGGATTATCTGTTTACCTGAATGTTAAAAAGGTCCCATTCTTGAGGGATAACCTACATCACATTTTTCAGCAGAATTAATTGGGTAGAATCTGTAAGCCCATGTTGGCAAAAATAAGATAAACATTTCAATTAAATTCAGATGAAGGTTTCTCCACACAAATTTTAGCCAAAAGCAGATGCTTTTGCAAAGCTTCAGTTTATAGCCCATTTCACAGTAATATTCTTTACAAAAAACTAAGCTAAGAAAGTTCATGTTGCATGAGGAAGCACTCAGAATCAGGAAACTCTAATGTTAAGGATACATGTGCAACCTTAGCTGTGCTCCTTGTATGTACCAGGATGCATGATGTGGCCTGCATCTTCTCTCATGCCACTTTTATGCTAGTATAACGTCACTATCAGTGGAGTCTTGATTTATACTTGTGTAACAGAGGAAAAAAGACCTATTATTTCTTGAATATCTCAGTTTTTTCACACTTTATATTCACATGTGCAGCATGTAGTATATTTCCATTCTTTTATACTTACACTAACTGTAGATTTTTCTTATAGTCTAAGGGTAAGTCTACATTGCGCTTTCTTGCTCAAGAACATATGCAAATGAGGCATGGTGATGATGAATATCACTATGCCTCATTTGCATACTTAATGAGCTACCATTTTGCACAAGGGGCTTTTGCACAAGCAGCAATGTACACTGCTCCTTCTTGCGCAAACCCCCCCTCTTGTGCAAGAGCCATTCTGTCCTGAAAATAATAAAGTGCAATGTAGATGTAGCCTAAGAGGATAACTGTCAGTAACCATATACTCTACATCAGTGTTTCTCATACTGTGCTCCATGGAGCGCCGATGATAACTGTCAGTAACCATATACTCTACATCAGTGTTTCTCATACTGTGCTCCATGGAGCGCCAGGGCTCTGCGAGACATCTCCAGGGGCTCCGCAAGGTTGACAAACTGGAAACATCGATAGGTACAACACAATCAGTGGACCACCGGGGCTCCGCATACATTTTTACACATGTATAGGGCTCCAGAGCCCAAAATGTTCCTTACAAAAGTAATAGCCCTCCTTCTGTTCAATTCAGAGGGTGAGGGAGTTCAAGGAACACTGTTAATGTAAATGGGGGGGATAAAATGTTTAACACCCCTTCACATTCTTAAAAAAATACATGACTTGCTTTCCCCAACATCATTACTTCTCACATTGGACTTAGTTGGGACTATACAAAAATAAAAACAGTTTACATAAGTAAAAATTACAACAACAGAAATATAGTAATATAATAGCCTAAATATAAGTTGGCCATGTCCCTTTTACTAGGAAAGGAACTTACTTGAACATGCATGTACAGCACAATCTTTCTTATGTAGATTTCAAATGATAGAGCAGATAACTACAGCAGTGTAAACTTAACTGGCATTTAAGTAAATGCATTATTTTAGTACACTAAAGATGCCAAGCATTGACAAATGTTTAAAAATACACCCCAAACTTTAGCACTTTGTTGCAGGTAACACTGCTCTAGCAGTAATAAACCCCAGTAGCAAAATCACCATCACTCACCAATTACTCCCATCTCTACATAGATCAGAGAGAAGGGAGCGACCTGTCAACATGCCCTGAAAGTTAAACTAGGGCTGCTGTGGACCCAGGTTCTGATCCAATATTGCAACCAAGAGTGTATGGGGTGAGCTGCTACATCTGCATTTAGCTCCATTAGGCTCTAAGGGCCAGACTGTTAAAAATATTTAGGCACCTAAAGATGCAGATAGTTGTCTAGTGGGATTTTCAAAAGTGCAAAGGGCATCTGGGAATTAGATGCCACTTTTGATATTTCATTAGGCACCTGTCAGCATCTCTAGGTGTCTTAATATCTTTAACAGTCTAGCATAGCTGCTCTGTCAATTGCAGATTAGGACCATGGGAAATAGTGAGATTATTAATATTAAAATTATAAATGTACCTAAAATTAAACATAATACATGCATCACTTAGGATTATATTTTAAAAATCTAGTGTAATATTTACAAGTTTGTTTGAAACAATCATACTTTTTTTTCCCACTGCAGGTTCAGGAGAAAACCATGAATTTGTTGATTTTGCTGAAGAAGCACAAACAGTGGAAGAACTTTTCAATGCATTCCCTCCCATAGAGCAGGGCCCCTGGCCTTCACAGCACTCTCAGTCTGTGCTGGCCCAGGACCAGCACTCTGTTTCCTCACATAGTAGTGCCCCACACCTCAACGAGGCTTCTAAAATGGACCCATAAGTGTTTCCTTACTGACAGTTTGGCACTACGATATCATCAGGGGTTTAGTCCTGCAAGGTGCTGAGAGTCCTCAGTTCTCATTAAAGTTTATAGGAGTTGAGGGTGCTCAGCACCACTTATGCTTAGATCCTATATTTGGAATTGTGAGGCTCTGACGATGCCATTAGTTTTGCGAGGAGGGAATAAATTCTTGTATGGAACCATACTAAAGTTTCCACTTGAGTACAAGGGATGTCCCCTCAAGTGTATACAATAAGGCGAAAGCCCTAGTGAATTCTCATGGTGGATGAATCATCAGTTGCTTGATTGCCATTAATTCTACCTTGTTACAGCTGCCTGCCAATAAACTATTTTTAAATGCCTGAAATTCAACGATTACTTTGTTTTCATTCATACCCTATCTTGGTCCTGGTTTTGTACCTGGGCATTCGTCTCCAATTTTGCTGTATCTGTACCATCTTGTACTTAGCTCTGACATGCCGTGTATCTTTCCCAGACTGAAAAAGAGCTCTGCGTAAGTTCAAAAAGTTGTCTGTCTTACCAACAGAAGTGGGTTCAATAGGTATTACTTCACTCGCTCTGTCTCTAGAACTGTTACAAGACACTGTAGCACAGGTTGGACCTCCCTAGTAGCATAATCAGGGCCTGACTGATCCTGGATGAAAGATTTACCAGAATAGGAGTGGTCATTTCTGGCCACCCTGCTGCTAGCCCTATCTCCCCCACTGGGCTTCCTTAATCCCTCCCCAGTCCAGCTAAGCCACCACCTCCTGCCCCTCTCCCGGCAGCCCAGCAGAGCCATGTGCTGGCTCCCACTCATCCCAGCCCAGTTGAGCTATATGCCCACCTCCCCCCCGCAACCCAGCTTGGCCATGCATTTCCCCCCCTCAGCATTGGGCCCTCTACTCCCTGCAACGCACCAGAACTCTCTGATCCTGGAACATCTGTGGTCCTCCTGGACCACAGATGTTGCTGGACCAGAGAGTTTCACTTTATAGAGGTGCAACCTGTACTAAAGTCTTTGTGTATATTTTAATCTCGGAAAATTTGCAACACAAAATAATCATACACAATAAGTGGTTTGCTATTTTAGATATTCCACAACATTTATCTGAAGATACTTTGGATGGGATTTTCAAAAACTGTCCAACACTGGCCAATCTCTGCTTCCTGTGGACCACTGATTTCAGTGGAAACAAAATTTGGATAGTAGTGAAAAGTTTTGAAAATCTTACTCTACATGTCTAAACCAAGATTTTGGAGGACTGAATGGCATTAGCGTTATTTTCTCTAATTTCTGTATAACTATATTTACTTTTTAAACAATAAGTGTCTACTCATTTTAAAATAATGCTTAAGCTTTATATATAAGAACAAACAACTAAGGACAATTTATGAAAAAAAGAAACTTGACTGTTCAGCATTTCATCATACAACACCTCTGATTAGCCTGATATACATCAGGAATTTATTCTAACAATTGATGACAAGGGTAAATCCCAAGTGTAGACAAAAAGAGCTGCACTTTGCACAGGTAAAAGAAGTAACACCATTTTCAAGAAGGAAATAACAATATCAAGATTTCACAATGTCTGGGAAACTGTCAGTAATATTTTAATAAGCTAGAGTAAAAAGAAATAATTTACATCAGTGTAACAGAAACAGTTTACATGAAAGAAATTTTTTTTTTAAAAAAATCTTGTTTTAGGACAGCTTGCAGTTAACATACACATCAGTAATAATAACTTGAGGAAAAATACATTTATAAAATTTTACATTTTAAATTTAGTGTAAGCAAACAGATATCAAAGTGTAAAATTAACTATTAGAAAAAAAAACCCTCACAGAACTGTAGATATACAATAAAATGACAAATTTCCCCAAATTTAGGAAATACATTTAGTTGACTAATTAGATCAACCAAGATTTGCTTAGCAAACATGCTCCACCCCAAAAAGGCACAACTACCACATTCATGACTATCATTTTCTTTCTAAAAGAGAAGCACCAGACAGATCCATGCAAAGCCAAGCTAACAAACTGAACACATTCATTCAATAGTTAAAATACCACCACTATTTCTTATGGACATTAAAAAAAATCTAATAGTGCATTCAAGTACATCACCACTCAACATCAGTAACACCAATCTTCAGTTTAAGTTAAAAAACAAATCCCTGATTACATTTGCCTTATTCAATGTAATAGACAACTAGTGTGAAATATTGGTCTGATTTTTAAATTTTTCTATGGAATGGGGATTGGTAGTGAAAGGTAAGTTGTGTGCCCATCACTCTTTATGTTCATTAGAAAGGAAGGCTGTGATGATAAAATGTGGTATTTGTTTTATCCCATAACACAACTCGTGTCACCACAGTAAAGAGCTTACAAGGATCACGTTGTAAGTTTGTATGTGAGTAATATTGGATCTGCTGTTGAAGTCAATGGGAGCGGAGGGCAGCTCAATTGCAAAATGACAAAGAGCCCTGATCCTGAATTTACTTCACAGGAGTCCAGTAGCCCACTAGAGGCTGCAACCAACTTCAA